CATTTCCTAATATATTCACATATATACAACATATATTCAACATATATACAACATATATTCACATATATACAACATTTATTCACATATATACAACATATATTCAACATATATTCAACATATATTCACATATATTCACATATATACAACATTTATTCACATATATACAACATTAATTCAACATATATTCACATATATTCACCATATATTCAACATATATTCAACATATTATCACATATATTCAACATATATTCAACATATATTCAACACATATTCAACATATATTCACATATATTCAACATATATTCAACATATATTCACATATATTCACATATATTCACATATATTCACATATATACAAAATATATTCACATATATTCACATATATACAACATATATTCACATATATACAACATATATTCACATATATACAACATATATTCACATGTATACAACATATATTCACATATATTCACATAAATTCAAAATATATTCAACATATATTCACATATATCCACATATATTCACATATATTCACATATATTCAACATATATTCAACATATATTCACATATATTCCCATATATACAACATATATTCACATATATTCAACATATATTCACATATATTCACATATTCACATAAATTCAACATGTATTCACATATATACAACATGTATTCACATATATTCCCATATATTCCCATATATACAACATATATTCACATATATTCAACATATATTCACATATATTCACATATTCACATAAATTCAACATATATTCACATATATTCAACATATATTCAACATATATTCACATATATTCCCATATATACAACATATATTCACAAATATTGAACATATATTCACATATCTTCACATATTCACATAAATTCAACATGTATTCACATATATTCAACATATATTCACATATTCACATAAATTCAACATATATCAGAGTCAGAGAGTCAGAGTTTCTTTATTGTCATTCACACCTCATGTGGTACATGTGGTGGAGCGAAATTATGTACGCAGGGTCCCAGTTACATCCAACAATAAAATGTATAAGAAAAACAGTAATAACATCTAAGATATGAACTAAGAAAAACATCAACTAAATATACACTAAGCACTCATAACATAAAACATTGAACATCAGCACAAACATGAACATGAGTCTGTGAGCAGATGTGCACGCATGAACACATCAACATTGAAACAGATCAGCAGCAACATGAAACAGATCAGCAGCAACATGATATGGTTTTTCACAGTGATTATTCTAGTTAGAGATTCATGAGTCTAACAGCCTCAGGGTAGAAGCTGTTCCTCAGTCTAGTGGTTCTACACTTAATGCT